GCCGGCCCTGGGGGCGGGGCGGCCCTGGAGTCTGGCGTCCAGGCGGCGCTCGGGGCCCGTCGGCTCGTGCGGGGCTCCTTGGGGAAGGAGAGGTGGTGGGGTGTCGCCCCAGAGTCGTTTGTCCCTGAAGAGGCCGGCGAAAAAGTGGGAGACGTTCTACTTGAGCCTCCTTTCAATGCTGGGATCCTTTAACAGGTTCCCTAGTTTCCCTTAAGTTGTAAGGTTGGAAAAATCTAGAATCACTTTAAGAATTAAGGGTACCTAGTTCCACCGTAGAGGTAATGGACAAGATAATTGAGGAAGGTAGCAAGCAGGGTGACGAACTAGGGCAGTTTTCCAGCTTCTATAGTCAGATTATCACAGTGTGAAAAAGGAAAAAAAAATGTGTATACATGTATATTAAAAAAGTATATATATAATAGTGTGGGACTATATGTATATTTTTCTGGGGGAGGATATTAAATGAATTCTGAGAACACGAGGTTTATTCGTCAAATGAAATCGAATATCCAAGGACAAGTTTAAAAATATTTTATTATAACTACCTTTTTGGATTATCTGTATGAGAGCTTATTTGCACAATCAGAATTGTAATATATACACATATGTAGTTATATTAATGCATTTTCAGCCTTACATTTCTATTTTGATAATTACTACAAACTCATTCTCAAAAGAAGAAAGTGTGCTGTCAACATAAGGTAAGGTTAATTGAGAAGACTTCCAGGAGAAGAGTGATGACTACCATTTGTAAGAGAAGGGAAGAGTTAGTTATTTAAGTAATGTAAGTACGAGGTTTAGCATACTGGTAACCAGTGATAGTTTAACTCCACTGCTTAGTCTTTCCATAGGCAAAACCAAGGGGAGCAATGAAGGATTCTATATCTTTACCACCAAAGAAATGGGAACAAGCTCTAAACCCTCTGTAATCACAAAGAAAAATACAGGAGTGAATCAAAAAGATAAGATAGTAAAGAACTTGTACTACTTTATTTGAAGACAAAATACTTTTGCCATTCTCAAGGTCTTTTGAAACATTTTGAAGAAAATCTCCTTTCCAAAAAACAAGTACAAGGATTTTTATCTTTTCTCAAGGCCTGCTGTTTGCAGATAAGGTGGTTGGTTTATATGAATTTTTGGCATCTTGTTCCTTCATCTACAGGCTTTTTTTTTCTCCCCACACCAAAAGCTGTTTGTGGTCCCAATCAACGGTCCCAATCAACAGTCCCACTGCATATCTTCTTGCAGATAGCTCACTCTCTGTCTTCACTTGAAGTTGCTTGCTATATTAGTTCCAATAATTAGAGCCATTAAAAATGTCAAGCAAGGCTTCCCTGGTGGCGTAGGGGACACGGGTTCGTGCCCCAGTCCAGGAAGATCCCACATGCCATGGAGCGGCTGGGTCCGTGAGCCATGGCCGCTGAGCCTGCACGTCCGGAGCCTGTGTTCCGCAACGGGAGAGGCCACGGCAGTGAGAGGCCCGTGTACTGTAAGGAGGGGAAAAAAAAAAAAAATTGAAATGTCAAGCAACTTGGGCCTTTTAATAAAATGTGGTAGAGTATCCTAAAGTTAACTTTTATACAATTATCTTTTGTTGACCTGTACAACTCATTTTTCTCCATTTTTTTAAAAAATATTTATTTATTTATAGTCGCACCGGGTCTTAGTTGTGGCATGTGAGCTCTTAGTTTCGGCATGCATGTGGTACCTAGTTCCCTGACCAGGGATCAAACCGGGACTCCTGCATTGGGAGCGTGGAGTCTTATTCACTGCGCCACCAGCGAAGCCCCTTTTTTCCATCTTTTGAAGCACCTAAAATAATATTTCGGAAGGAATTTGGAAGACATATATCTGTGAGTCCTTCGTGGTATCAACTGGACTGTAGTGTCAGCAAGCACTACCCTTTCAGAGGAGCTAAGGGTCCCTCTGCTGGTGAGTGTTGAGAACTCTTCCAGCTCAGTGGGTGGCATGGGTTCAAAGCATGGAAAGGTTAAGAACTCTCAGGCTGGATTATTGCTTTGAGTGTTTAACCCTAGACAGTGGTAGTTAATTGTTTCAGGCTTTCATTCAATTCCAGTCAGTGGAAGTTCTGGGCTGTGTAAGCATGTGCTCTGGAACTGAAGGACTGGTGAAGGTATCCTAGTGTCCTAATTTGCTCTCCTTAACAGTTTTATAGAACCTGGACAGCCTTCGTAGCAGCCCTAGATATTGAATAAGCTGGTTTAACAACATTATTATTATTTTTTTTTTTGCGGTACGCGGGCCTCTTACTGTTGTGGCCTTTCCCGTCGCGGAGCACAGGCTCCGAACGCGCAGGCTCAGCGGCCACGGCTCACGGGCCCAGCCGCTCTGCTGCACGCGGGATCCTCGCGGACCGGGGCACGAACCTGCGTCCCCTGCATCGGCAGGCGCACTCTCAACCACTGCGCCACCAGGGAAGCCCAACAACGTTAATTTTAAAGCAGCTTTTGTGGCTTTTTCCTTATTGCAGAATACATATATGTTTATTGTAGAACGTTTAGAAGATATAGATAAGACACACACACAAAAAAGAAAATATCCCATCCTACCTTTAATTTAATCCATTAGACACTTTGGTTTATATCCTTCCAGTGTTTTTTTCCTAATTTATTTATAGAAATAATTTTTAAGTTAAACAATTTCAGAACAAACTGCTTTGTGCCCTTTTTTTACAGTTTCATTGAAGTATAATTTACATACAATTAAATTCATCCATTTAAAATGGAAAATTTGATGAGTTTTCATAAAAATCTGTATTTGTGCAACCACCATCATAGTTAAGTTTTAGAACAACCCCATAACGTTCTCTCATGCCTTTTAGCAGTTGTAGTCTGCCTTGTAATTGTGAATATTATTCTCTTGTTTGAAATATGCTTTTTTGAAAAAAATTATTTAGTTAATTTATTTTTAATTTTTGGCTGCATTGGGTCTTCGTTGCTGCGTGTGGGCTTTCTCTAGTTGTGGTGAGCAGGGGCTACTCTTCATTGCGGTGTGAGGGCTTCTCATCACAGTGTCTTGTTGCGGAACACGGGCTCTAGGAGCGCGGGCTTCAGTAGTTGCAGCACGCGGGCTCAGTAGTTGTGGCTCGTGGGCTCTAGAGTGCAGGCTCAGTAGTTGTGGCACATGGGCTTAGTTGCTCTGCGGCATGTGGGATCTTCCTGGACCAGGGCTCAAACCTGTGTCCCCTGCATTGGCAGGGAGATTCTTAACCCCTGCGCCACCAGGGAAGCCCTGAAATATGCTTTTACAACATAATTTTAATGACCCTCGTATTGTTTTGTATAGCTGTATCATAATATATTGGACAATTAGGCTACTTTAAGTTTCTTACTATTAAAAATTCGCCATGAGAAAAATCATTATAACTAAATCATTTTGTACATTCATAATTCTTTTTTTTAACATCTTTATTGGAGTATAATTGCTTTACAATGGTGTGTTACTTTCTGCTTTATAACAAAGTGAATCAGTTATACATATACGTATGTCCCCATAAGTCTTCCCTCTTGCGTCTCCCTCCCTCCCACCCTCATGATTATTTCTTTAGGATTAATTTCTAGAAGTGGAAGTGCTGAATGAATGGTTATAATTAGCTCCGTTATTAAGCTCTGGGAGGTCAGAGCATTTTATCTGTTTGCTCACTGTTCGATATCAAGGTCTGAGAACAGGGTCCACCATACAGTTTGCAACTCAGGAAATAATTGGTGAATGAATGGCTGAGTACCTGTTGCTATACTGTATTCCATCAGAGAGAGGCCAATTTATGCTGTCATCAACAGTGTGATAATTTAATAGAATGTATTACTGCACATTTAAAATTTTCCAAGACAGATCTACTTAAAAATATTCTGTCCTGTTATCACATTGATCCAAGGAAATATTCCAGGGATTCTAATATTTTGGCATCCAAGTTAAATCTCTTAGGTTGCCTGTTATACTCACAGCCATACCAAAAAAAAAAAAATCTCTTGTCAAACCATAAATTTTGTCTTTTATTTAGAAAATGTAGTCACTTATCTATAATGTTATCTATTTTTGTCCCAAATATAACATTATAAAGACTGGCAAATATACTTAGACAGTTTTGAATATTCAAGGTAACACAAAATTACTTCAAGCTTATTTCATTAAACAGTTTTGGGATCCTTCACTATCTTCATTGTTTCTTCCTGGCATGTTATAATTTTACATTATAAGCCACTGTCTCCATCAGTATGGAACATGTATTTTCCTTTTTCTAAAAGGAAAAAAAAAGTAATGGATGATATACACTTAAATATGATAAAATAATAAATTTTATATTATTTATATTTTCCCACAATAAAAAATTGCAACCCCTCAAACTTGTAATACAGTTATACATGTCCTCCTTTATTAAATGCATTAAAGAACAACAACAAGCATAAGGGATGAGATCACCTTTAAAAAATTTTTTTTTGGTAAATACCTAGGAGTGGGACGGCTGGTTTTCTTGCTTATAAAATTCCTATCTAGCTATCCTTCATTCTGGGAATTTTTCTCCAGGCATACATAGCACTGATCAAAAATAACACTACTTTTGTTTAGCAATGGCAAGAAGTCTGGTCTGGAACCTTCTTTTTGAGTGATAAAACTTGAAAAGAATATTCTTTCCAACCAAAATCCATCTTTAATCACAACCACTACAAAACTGTTACTCCCTCATTGACTTTAACAGTAAAGAGGGAGTGAAATCAGCTATTCTTTAGGGTAATCCAAGAGATGAGTCTGAAAGTGTGTGGCTAAGGAGCCTTAGGAAAACCCAAATCTAATCAAGTTTCCTTGGGGGATTGCGAAATTATTCCCTGAAACTGAAGGGTCATTGTCATCTGCTGCCTCTGGCTTCTTTC